TCTACACGAGATGCTGATGCAGCTGATGCATTTGTTGAAGTGTCAAACATCATAATACCTTCGCATACCGGTGATGCCATCAGCGTTGTTGTGGTTGCTGTTGCCTTGGTTGTTGCTGCTGTAATTGTAGAGGTGGTTGTGGTGGTGGTGGTGGTGGTGGTCGTCACGTCGTCGTTGTGGTCGCGCCACCAAAGCGCGGCCAAAGACGCTATATTTTAGCGCGCCCAGTGCGCGCAAATACAATTGCAATGGTGGCAAATTTGTGTTTGAACATCGGGCAAACCCAAAACAACTCTGTATTGACGCATTGTTCTGTGCTGTAGGAGCCACACACACCATGCTGTTTTCCATTGTTCGTTGGTGTTCATTGTTTTCACATTGGCTCAACCATCAAAGCAACACTGAACTCACTGAACATCCTGAACCTTCTTTTTACGACGTTCTTTTTTGCATTCCGAACAACCGGTACGCAGTTGTGAGCAACCGGGTGACTCGTAATGATCCAGCAATCATTCATCCTTCAAACCTCATCACACTCGGGGAGCTTTTTCAGACAGCAGACCAAGGGGTTAGGGTAGGCATCACTTCTTACATTGGTGGCAAGTCGCAGGAACGCAGGGCATCTTTGTTGAATACTGTTCGAGATCACAACTGATTTTCCTGAGCCCAGGAAAAACACGTTGGGTTTATATATAAAGTAGTATTTATATATGTATAGATATATGGATCTTAAGGATTGTCGATTGACCGTCAACGCAAAGGGATGACTTGAGCACCCTGACGGGGTCAAGACCGTTGGCGCACGTTGGCCGAGCGCACTGGACGATCGCGATGAGAGCGCATGCCGCGCAGTCTGACCGTCCCAGACCGGGCCCGAACAAATCCAACAGAGGTGGGTCAGGAGGTTCTTCCAGCACCGAAACCAACAGGTCTCCGACATGGGGCGACCTTGTAGACTTCAGGGCGTCGCAGATGGGGACCTGTGAAGTCAGGTCCTGGTAGTTCGACTATCCCAGTTGGGTACCCCAGGATGAGGGTCCTATTTACGGTCACTTAACCTCTGTTGGATTCCGCTTTGCTCATTCGCTTTGCTCATTCTTTGCAAAAACCAGGCAGAGGCCAAGAAGTCCAAGGCCCGGAAGAGGCTCGGCCAACGAGGGCGGTTGGAGACTGGAGGGGTTCATCCCGGTGGCACCCCCGTCATGACCCGCAAAATGAGATGCCAGTTGGACAAACATGGACATACACAATCTCATGCACACACACACACAAGAAAACAATACTTAATAGCATTCTGATGCATTCTGGGTGGAACTTGAATTTTGGATTGAGAACGAAAACAGGTGGTTTGGTATGAAGCATGAACAACCACACTTGTGGCTTACAGTGTTCTTCAAGGATCTTGAACAAACATCTTGAAACCGTTGAAACCCAACTGACCAAGACGAATCAGATGGTCAACAGAACCAAGCGCTAGTTGAAGTGTTTCGGTTGAACGTGGGTGTTGTCCACAGGTGGGTGTTCTTCCGCCATGTTCTGTGAGGCAACGCGGCGGCGGCGGTTCAGGCAACGCGGACACTCCATGTATATCTGGCGTAAATGATGGACCCGAAAGCACCACCTCAATGTAGGTTATACATCAAATACATGGATTGTTTGGGTAACTTGTATAGAACCAAGCCACATCAATGGATTATCATTTATTTATCGGCGTGGCGAACGACAGGTCCAGAAGGTCAATCTTGACTGATTGAGGTGTTCTACCTTGTTCTACCACCGTCCGGTGGGTGCGTTAAAATTCCTCAACCGTCTACAATTACTATCCCATTGAAGTGGAAACAGTGCATGGCCTTCGGCTTGGTGCCTAGCCTTTGGTGGGGCTGACCAGCTGCATGCGCAGCGCTGGAGGCTCCTGTTGAAGAGATTGCGGCCGAGCTTTCAGGAGTACCAGGAGGACTGTTTGACTTCAAGTTCCAGCGATGGGGGGAGATGGGACAAAGGGAAACGACTTTGCTATGCTTTGCTTGAAATGGAGATTGGCAGGTTATGAAGACCATGAAGACGGCCCTTTTGACCGAAAATTGGGTTCCAGAGTCATGACCCACTTGAGAATGGAAACACCAACAAGGAAATTGAGGCATGACAGAGCCTTGAGCTCCGACATGTTCAGGGTCTTTTGTTTGGGAGGCACCAATTCTGGAGAGTAGTGACTTTTATTAACTGACTGGTGCGACTCGTAGGGAATAAGGGAATGAGCCCCCAATAGAGATTCTATTGGACCCATTTCCTCATTCCCTGCGAGTCGCACCAGTCAGGCATAGGCAGGCCATGGGCCTACCATGCCCCTTTCGACGAGAAGAAGCCAATACGCAGGAGTGTTCCCAACCACGGCAGCACTGGAGATGATCCACTAACACACGTCCGAGAAAGCTCCGTTCGCAGCGTCCGAGAAAGCTCCGTTCGTAGTCTACGGCCAGGTTCGGGGCCGAGGAACGTCGCGTCCGAGAAGAAAGCTCCGGACTCGAGTCGCGAGGCCCGAAATGCTCCGCTCCGTTCGTAGCTTAGAGGAACCATGTCGGGGTGTTTTCACCTCGACGCACTCTGCGGTCGATCGAATGGGTCCTCAGGAGTACGCGCCGATCAGATCGGGTGATGGAATGGATTGTCCTATGCGGTCAGATGTGCCCGAGAGGTCATGACCTTGGCTGATCTCCCCCGGTTTGTGTCCCAACATCGTTTTTGTTGAAAAAACCGGACAAGTGAACCCAAGATTCTCGAATGGAACTCCTCAAAAGTGGGTGTTAGAAAGCTTCATGTTCAGTTTGACAACCCAGAAGTCGTCCAACGCCAATGGCAGTGGGTTTTCAAGCCTGGAGCAAACCCTGACGGGTTGACCGATCGGTTGACCGGTCGTTTGTTCGGTCAACCGGTCGGTCTGGAGGACGAGATTGAGGAGAGAGGAGAGGAGTCCGCAGAGGCCGCCTTGTTTGAGCCGCGTTTGAAGCGGGCGAAAGGACACGTCTTGGGGGTGTGGGTCAGCTAGCACTGTCAAGCAATCAGCCTTACTTTGTTTATTGCTATATTATATTTGTATTTGTTTAAATAGGCTGGTTGGGAAGCCGATATTGCCCACGGATGATAAGGAAGCCAAGAATATCAGAGCTCCGCATGGATTTGGAACAGAGACAAACAACTCACTGGTTCAAGAATCGACCATGTCGCTTTATAGAATAATATGTTCAAGGCTGGTATCAACAAACAGGACAACTGTGTGTTCGAGAGAAGAACTTTGTTGCCTCTCCTGCTTCAGGCAGCTTCAGAGGATGCCGAGGACATGGGGAGTTCTTGAGACGGAGCAGAGAACCTCTGGAAGACGAGTGTGTGACACATTCAGCTCTCAATGGTTCATGCATGTTCATGCTAAATCCTTTCGTGGGCCTTCTGTGCTGTAAGCTGTAAGCTGTAACATGTAGCCTGTAGCCTGGAGTTTCGTGACCATGACGGAGATGGTTGTTTCTTTTCTGTTCGACCCTATGCGCCTCTTCGTCTTCTCCCCGCCCGCATCCCGGCCCAGGACGATCCTGGCCGATCCACGCCGTCCACCCCGGTCTCGCGATCCCGGGAGGCGGGTCCGAAGTCTGCGATGAAGCCGAGGACGCCGAGGACGGCGTTTGGGGGGGTGAAGTACCCCTCCCTCCTGAGATATTACATGTATTATACATGTATTACACGGTATGTTTAAACAATTACCCCTCCTTACCCACTTAAATGGATTTCAGACGGGACGATTAGCAGTGAAGAGGTAGGAGCAGGGAAGAGGTAGGAATTCTACATGATTTTGATCAACATCATTTTGCATAACAGTCTGTATATGTCAGTATGTAAAAAATGGTTTCACTCAGATAAAAGTATTTGATAAACCTTGTATGGTAGGAGCAAACACCACTGCCGCAAGGCGTGCCAAAGCCAGAGATGCTCCACACTGCACGCAGTCAAGCTGACTGGACAACGACGCTCAGTTGTCTTGCAAAGAACACTGGAGCCACAGAACGTCGTTGGTTGAGAGCTTTCTACGGCGCTCCGGACATCCAAGAGGCAGCGGATTCAGTGATTTTGGAAGCTGATGGCGATCCTTGGCACTGTGAAAGACAGTGAGAACGGCGAGATGGAGCTCCTCAAGACGCACTTCATTGTTGACTAGTTGTTGACTTGTTGATTTTGACCGGCTGTGCCATTCAAAAGACAGACTAGTGGTTAAACTTCGACAGACTCAGTTCATGCATCCCTTAATAATTTTCTAAGCCCCCCCTTCTAGTCAACCCACTAAAGGCAAGATAAGCAGAATACACTAACTGCATAAGGCTGATATTTCGAAAATTATTCTTTACAAAAAAACATCAAAGCGAACAAAGCAGATCTATTTCCAACTATATTTCAAGAGCGGGTTTGTATTAAAAAGTAATAGTACTATTCTCCCAGAGGAGCCTTGTGGCCAACTTGCTCCCAACTATACCACCGAAACCTACCTCTTCCCTGCTCCTACCTCTTCCCTGCTAGTTGGCTGCCCAAAGGATTTAAGCCAAACGTTCTTGTTTTTCAAGGACAGCGACGGGCGGACATGGTAACGAACGACCATCGAAGGACCATCGGGAAAAAAGAAGCGGTCGCAGCGGACGAGTTTCTTTCCCAAGGCTTCGTTCAACTTGGACAACAGACTCACGTGGCACCAGGGCTTTAAGGTGAAGCTACCAGGAGTCACAAAGGGGTGGTTTTTAGTCCCTAAGTGAGTGGATAATGGGCACCATTTTGCGACTCCTGGTATTTGCTATTAAGGGACATAATGTTCCTTACCCGCCACAGATTTCACCGGTGGTTCTTCTTTTTTCCGCGCGCAGCCATCTCTGCTAAGTTAGGATCCTCCGCGTTTGCTGCGCAGCCGTCTCTGCTAAGTTTGTAGCAACCCCTCTGTGGCAACGCAGCTCGCACATCCTCGGCCCAGCATGGTCGCTTTCTTTGTGCCTTTCGTGTCCCTCCTGCTGCTCAGCTGAGATGAAGGACGAGGGAATGGCTGAATTAAGATGATATCTTCTTTTGGCGCCGTATGCCCCAAAAAGTGGACCGTCGTCCATGAAGGGTGACACTTTGACTCCAATGCAGTCAAGGGTGCCTTCCCAGGTCATTCCCCTTTGCCAGTTTGTTTTCACATGGGAGAATACGCACCGCTCGGGGGCCGGAAAATTTGAGAAGCAACGCTCTCAGGCTGCTGCTTTCGCCGGCGCGTGCGGACCAAACCGACCCCTCGCCAATGGTGATCCGCTTGCAGCGCGTCCCGGGCAATGGCACCCACTTCTATGTGGGGAGGTGCCTGGCTGCGGGGCGTGGGGTGGGCAGAATTCATTTGGAGAGAGGGGGAAGGTTTTTGCGCACACACGAACATGTTTTACAACATGTGTGAAAACACTCCACTCTTCAAAGGGAACGCACTGTTTCAGGGCATCGGAATCTGGGTCGCACCAAAGGCGTTGGTTGTTGGTCTTGATTTGGAGGTTGGCTTATAGCAGAGTGGCTGTAAGAGGTGAAGTCACCACACTCCTCCCCAATCGTCGTTGGAGATACCCAATGATACACTTATACTTCAATCATATTCAATATAAAAAATAATTCATGCATATAAGTTTTTTTGAAATATTAATTGAATTATTTTTGATATCATATTCAAAAATCATTCAACATTTTTCAATAAATACCAGCAGTGTGCCTCTTCGCAGGGCTGCCCATGATCCACTCACTTGGGGTTAAGCTCCACCCGTTTGGAACTGCTGGTATCCATCGATCTATGTATATGATTATCTATGTATCCATCGATCCACCTATCTATCCATCGATCTAAGTACCTATCTATCCATCGCTCTATGTATGCAGCGATCTATCATCCGGGTGTCAGTAACCACTATGAAACCCTAGGCTAGGGGGGTTCTGGTATGGCACAAAACGTTTTGCGAGGTCCCTTGAGGCGGTCTGAGGCTGATTGTATAAAGAAATGGGTGCTTGATATGTAGTGTCATTGCTCTTTGATCACGTCCGTGGATGGCTCTTGTTACACTTGTTCATGCCATGTATTGAGTTGGTATGTGGCCGTGATTTACGATGAGATACGCTGAGACATAAGATGAAAGCACAAGAGATTAAAATAGAGCAGTCTTTGAGCATGACTTTGTGTGCACCTTGCAGAAGTGATTGGATTTTTGAAGAGACATCAGAAAAGGAGCTCTTTGAGCATGCATTGAGTATCATTGGGTCAAGTTTTTTGAGGGCTGGCCTGGTGATGTAGGCTTTCAGTTTTAGTGGGGTCACACCAAAATATGTCCCTTTGCCAGTGGCTACCACCATTTCACAGCTATAGAACCACGGGGATGATCCATCCATCCATCTATCCATCCATCCATCCATCCATCCATCCATCCATCCATCCATCCATC